ATTATTACCAGATTGATTTCATATTTTTACTGATTTAAACTATTTAATTACTATTTATTAAATATTTTATAATCTGATAACCCTCTTTAAGATTTAAAAAAAAAAAATAATCTAATAACCCTTTTTACATCTTTTTGCGCCAAAATTCGTAGGCAATAGGATGCCGATAGGGTTAAATTTGGCAGCAATTGGGTAATCCTTATTGAATATCATTTTACTTGTGTATATTATAGTGATATGGGCCGATGGAAAAATCTCAGGTCGAGGCCAGCCCGGGCTGGCCCGGGTCAGCCTGTTGGTCAGGGCCGATCTTTTTATGAAAGATTTTGAAAGATTTTGAAAATTATTCAACCTTTATCGCACTTTAAACATAGATTGGGGAGTTATTCAATACTTTTTTCTTTGACCTTATAAGAGATTCATATTCGATATTGTCTTATTGTCTACATTCCGAAGATTCCTGGCCGATAATTTCTAGGCCGGCCCGTATCACTAGTATATTATATATACTTTGTATTTTATTTGTAATAGTTCTAATACTTATAGTATAAGTAATAAATATAGACTGTTATGTTTCTAAAAAATTGAAAAGTATAAAAATAGCAGATGTAGACCTTGAGTTCAACATTGTGTCTTCATATACTTTCAACAATAAAATATATTTTGTATACCAAATTCTGAACAGTTACTAGTATCTTCATATACTTTTAATTGTTGCCTCTTTTGTAATTGCAAATTGCCTTAAATCTTCTTTGTTAAGTTTTGTAAAAATGCTATACCGACTTAGCCAAAATATAGTAACTAGTATGGGTTACACAAAGTATTCAATAGCTACAGTCGCTCTAGTTAACTATTATCTTTAAAGAAGTGAATATAGGATAACAACGGTTAAAAAATTCCACAAATCTCAACACTTTTCATATTACTGATCTTGTACTGATAGCTCCAAAGGTAGGTTAATCATGTCACAAGAAAAGTGCGGTCCTGTGATCTACAAGCCACTCTGATCTGTCGGAATGGCTGCTGAGAAAGAAAAAACTATGCGAAAATATCAATTAATATTTTATATGATATATATCAGTTTTTATATGCATTTAATCATAAAATATTTTATATTGGACTTTAATCAATATTTATATTTATTAAATACTTTCGACATTTAGGGATAAATTTTTTGAAATTAAAAAAAAAATCAACGCGAAATGTATTATTTTAAAAAAGTGCTATTCAGTAAAATTAATTAAATATGTCTGTTAAATTAATTATGCAATTTTACCAACATTTATTTTATGATATTTTCCAACATTTATTATATTTTTGAAATTAACTTGTAATTGATTTATAGTATTGTAATTTATGGGAAATTAATTGATATTTAAAAAATGTAATTCATAATAAATTTACTATATACGGTACTTTGAAACTTAATATATTGTTCAAAGAAGTTATTTATTTTAAAATTAATCATATTATTCAAGCAAAATTAAATATTTTTAATTAAACGCTTAATTCGCAAGAATTAATTTTGAAATTAAATACGCGTTAGATACAAAATTTAAATATAACCTTTGGCTATAACCAAAGAAGAAAAAACTCTAACAATTATTTTCACAACAAACCTTTGCAAATCAAAAGCTTAACTAAACTACATATACTTAATCTGCTATAAAGTTATAGTTAATTCGTTGTTCAAATTATATAAATCAATATATTCCTTTTGCCATCCTAATCATATTTATTTCACCATCTTGTTCGTATTTATTTCGTCATTCTGATCGTATTTATTTCGCCATCCTAATCATATTTATTTCGCCATCCTGATCGTATTTATTTCACCATCCTAATCATATTTATTTCGCCATCCTGATCGTATTTATTTCACCATCCTGACCATATTAATTTTGTCATCCTGATTGCATTTATTTCACCATCCTGACTATATTAATTTTGTCATCCTGATCGCATTTATTTTGCCATCCTAATCATATTTATTTCACTATTCTAATCATATTTATTTTGTCATCCCAATCATATTTACTTTGCCATCCAGATCATATTTATTTCACCATCCTAATCGTATTTATCTCATCATCCCAATCATATTTACTTACCATCCAAATTGTATTTATTTCACCATCCAATTATTTAAATTCACATACACCTAATTCTCCAACAAAATTATAGTTGATTTTCTATCCTTATTATTTATACACGTCTAATTTTAACAAACAATGGCTTCTTCTAGTCAAAGAATAGAAAGTTTCAACATTCATGTAAAAAGATGTTCTCGCTGTAACAAGTCCAAAATTATTGATGATTTTATTCAGCAAAGCAAAGAGAGACTAAAGGAATTTTCTCATTGTAATACCTGTACAAATAAAAAAAAAGGAAAATCAGTAAATGTTAAAAGCAAAAAAACCATGTATTCGGAAAGTCTAAGCCTGGCTAATATTATTGATGATAATGAAGAAGAAATAATTGCTAGTGATGAT